GCAGCCCAAGTCTCAAGCCTCCAAACCTGCGTACGGCAACTCTCCATACTGGACAAACTGAACCCTGACGAGGGGGTGGGCTGGTGCAGGGCTTACCCTGGGCAGGAGAGGACACACGGATCCCATTTCCGGGAGCCCGGTGCCCTTTCCGAGAACTCCTGAGACGTGTAACTGTGTCAGCCAAGCCTCTGTGGGGAGCCTGCCTCTCAGACTCGCTATTGTATGTAATGTATTTATGTATGTATTTGTAAATGTGATCCAAGTCTTGGGGAGGGGGTGCAGCTGCTACTCTTAGCCAGATCTGCTCTCCCCACTCAAGCTCCTTCTCGCTGTAGCAAAACAAGCCCCTGCTCCCCTTCTGCCTTCAGGCCTTCTCCACGGCCCCCGGCCAGCGGGCTATGAGGGGCAGTGTCTGGAAGGGCTGGTTTAGGCAGTTTGGGTGTGGGGTCACGTACCAATGAAGAATCACGACTTATCTCGCTCCCTTGTAAACTGTTGAGTTTTCTTCCCTGTGTAATTACTTTTATCTCCCTCTTTTTGAGAAACTGGTCCTTTGTCATTTGTCATGTCCTCCTGCCAAATCTCTATCTGGGAATAAGCAGAGATACCCCGCGCCTGACATGAAAGTGGCACCGGTTTGTCTTCATATAGAGCAGGGGTTTCTGCTTCTGGTCTGGTCTTGTCCCCAGAGACTTGCCTTCCCCTGGCTGACCATTTTTAAAATAATCTGAACTTGCACTCAGATGTTCAGCCAGTCAGCTCCCCTTTTAAAAAAAATCAAAGCTTTCCACCTCAATAAGAGCACGTCTCTAAGCAGAGGCTCCTCTGTCCCAGTTGTCCTGAACAAGTGGGTGACTGTTTCAGGGGTTTCTCTTTTGCCCAAACTCCACCTAATAAAGTTCTGAGAGCATGCACGGTCTCTGTGTGGTGTGACTAGGGGATCGTCAGGGGCCGGCCGTCTTCAGTATGCTTCCAGCCAGCCTGGACTTCACAGGACTGAAGTCAAGCTCACGTGGTGCGTCTTCTGACAGCAGGGAGCGAGGGCTTAAGCTGGTCTGCTGCTTTGCAGGGCCCTTCTCTTGCCTTGGCCCCAAACCGTTGGCATCCAGGGAGTGAGAAGGTAAATGGTACGTCTGAGAAGACAGCGACCCAGGCAGGCAAGGCACAGGCAGTGTTTAAGTTAACTTTTTTTTTCTTGCAAATCCTAACAGGCTTAGAGGATAAGGCAGTCTCTTACAGGGCCCTGTCAACAGGAGTACTAGGGCAGGGTCATTTCTTTTCCAGACGTCAACTGAGTTTAAAATCTGGAGCAAAGTAAAATATGTTTGAACAGCTAAACCTCTCTATCCTTTGTTCTTATCAACCAAACACAATCTTGACCTACAGTCAGGGGAACAGGTGACTAGCAAGTCAGGTGGCATGAAGTAGGTGAGTGAGTCCTGGGCTAAATATCTGCTCTGGAAAGTCCCAAGCAACCATTCACCTGGAGCCAGGATTCTAGTCCAGCTCCTTCCTCCTGCTTCCAGGGCACGAGTCAGGGAGGAGCTGGGGCCATAAACTATTCCTGCGTGTCGTAGGAGGCAGAGCTCCCCACTTGTCTGTAGCACAACTGTGCTCCAACGTGGCAGGCCGTTCAGGGCCTAGAGGTGTTGCCTAAGGCATTTTAGCCTCTCATTTCTGTCCTAAACAACCCCTTCAGACGAGGGTACATAAGCAAACAAAATAAGTGTTGCTTCACATCAAGTATCGGTCAAGCCAGTGTGCCAGAACCTGGGGGGAGTCAGTCTCGACTTTCTCTGCATTTGGCCTCTAAAATCAGTGGTCATTTCATCAGATGGGACACGTGCTGCTGTTAACCCACAGCTTGGGATCCTGGTTAGGAAAAAGGTAGGTGTCCACAACTGAAACTAATGGGACTTACAAACTATGTGACCTCTTGCCTGACCCCTGCTGTTAGCAGCAGGAAGATAAGTGACAAGGAAAACAATTCTTGCCTAAGGAGGGCAGTGGAGAACCCCTCCATCCCCTCACCAACCTACTTGTACTGGCAGATTGTGCTCTATTTCAGAATTAAGGTTAACAAATGGCTGTGTCTTGAGTAACCTTTCTTAAAAGGTTACTCAATCCCCAAGGACTGGGGATGTTGGTTCTGCAAGGAGCTGAGTTGAGCAGAATGTCATACAAGGCAGGTCTGCAAGGTTTGGTTTTTGTTTTAATTTTTCAGCTGAGTCCTGGGCAAAATGTGCAAGGGAACAGTGGAAATACTAAAATCACCTTTTAGTTTTCTTTAACACAAGAAAAAAGAGAGGGTCATCCGATGGGGAAGGAGCAGTACAGGTATATTTTATTTCACATTTTATTAGTAGACAGATGGGCAGAAAAAGACAAAATAAACCACTAAAAGGGGAGTTCAACACAAAATGCATCAGATAATCTTTTCTCATAAGTTAAACTGAAGAAAAACATCTACAATTTCAGCTAAGAAAACTATTAAAGTCAGGTGTTTCCTGCTGGTTTCAGAATAGTTGAAAATTGCATCTGAATCTTTTTGTAAATAATGTAAACCTTTTTTATCAGGATGGGAGGAGTGGAGAGTTAATTTTCAGTGGAGAACTACACATTTTCGCTTCAATCTCCTACTATATATGTCCCAAACAAAAGGAAACCAGCAAATAAAGAAGCAAATTACCAGGGAAGAGGAAAGAAGGGACTACAAAAAAGTCTGGCTAATAGAAAAGAACTCTGGAATGATAACGAAATAACAAAAAGGGGGGAAGACTTTGAGAAGCAACAACGGAATCATGATACTATACTTTCTCCACCCAGCCTCAAAATACACAGACCTGAAGAGCATCCAGAGAGGCATCCAATGGAATCAAAAGGAATCTAAAAATGCAGGATTTTAAGTAAGTTCACGTTACACCAACTAATCAGCACAACTGTACTCACACGGTCCTGGCCTGAGCCTGAGATCTCCACTCCCCAAAGAACAAAGTTAGATGCTCAAGTTTCCTTTGCTACAAGGGTGTGTTCTCAGGACAGCTCTGGAACCGGCATCTGGGTTTTACACGTTCAGTCCGAGCTATCAATCAGCATGTCCACCTGCTCGCAAATCCACACACCCCAGTCTTTTCTGGAACTGATTGTACTCTTACCAGAAGCAAACCCAGCCCTCAACAGTACACCCCAAAGGGCTGAGAGGTACAACCTCCACCTGGCTCTCTGGCTCCCTGAGTCAACGTGCAACAGAGGCCAACAGGGCCGCGCAGCATAGCACCTCCCACAAAGCCAAGGTGCCCGGCCTGCCCTGGGAAAGAAATGTTTTCGCAGTAGGGAGAAGAAACCAAGACCAAGCTACTGGCTGTAAACGTGTGTGTGTGTGAGAGAGAGAGTGAGATGATAGATAGGGAGTAATCAAAGCATTATGAGAGACTTGGGGCTCCAGAATATTTGCAGGTTATCTGGAAGCATCACTTAAGCGTGGGGAGTCAAAAGCTAGTTCCGACTTCCTTCTGAGCAAGTTTGTGGTGTTTTGTCACAAAGAGCTGCTCTATTCTCTGAATCTGACTGGAATCACTAGACTCGGGTGCAAGTAGCCCTGACCCCGTGGGGATTGGACAGAGTTTCTAGGACCAGGCTCGACACTGTCCCATATGAACCTTAGCATGTGAAACGTTCCCAGTTAGTACTAGACCTAACTTTAGAGGCCAGAGAGAGCTGCTGGGAGTGAGCAAATGTTTGTAGAGTTTGAAGAGCGAATGAAAACCCTGAGATCAGAAAGGAAGGAGGAGCTAAGGAAGTAAGCATCACCTACTCTGTCCTAGGATCCATCCTACCCGTCCCTCATCAACGCTTTGGTTCTTTCTGAGCTATAATCGGAAGAAAAGGAGTGAGTTGACATTAGTGTGCAGGGATCTGAAGTAGGACTGTAGTCAGTCTTTCCTGTATTTTCCTTCCGAAATTTGTGATTTTTACATTACAACGATTTTCCCCAGTGAAAGAACACTGCCCTCCTATGAACCAGCCCGCTCCCAAAAGAAACAAACATCAGCTCCAAGTTCTGAAGTCCCTGGTGGGTGAAGGCTGATGGATCTCAGTACTGACTGAAGTAACAGGACTGAGATGGGCAAGTCAGAGCAGCAGCAATTGCATGGCGGGAGGCTCTAGCGTTGCGCAGACACTGCCTGCAGCCGCCCCCTCGGCTCTGCCCATTGTCGAAGCAGCCAGGGCAAGCTCCATGCACAACTTCTGCGTGCACGCCAGAGTACAGTGACAGGAAAGGAAAGTCCTGGTGGCATCCGGTGGGGAAAGCGGGAACCGGTCACTCATGTCTCACATGTATCCACAGTTATCACTGTCGGTATAAGCAGCTCAATGAAAACCAAAATCTTAACACATGCACCTAGTATTAATACTGAGTAATTAAAACTGGCTACTTAAAAGAGTCCTCATGGTGAGAGTGTATCTTTGAGGGAAAGGCCATGTTAAATATATAAAACAGATGCTTTCTCGCCCAACAGTGGTCACCAGTAGTTTTGACTTTTTCCCCAGCAGCATCAACCAGAATTGGCAGAGGGACTTTTAACTCTTGGTTCCCATCACTAAGACTCCACACACACACACTAATCCCGTCTCTCCCCACTCCCTGGGTGGGGGGAGAGTAACTCTGCCTTTAAAATAAATAGCAATCAAGTGCTCAGTTCTATGTAAAGTATGAATATTTATTTCAGGCTTTAGATCCCAATCGATTTCAAAAAACAAAATCTGATTTCTCTCCTCAGAGTAGCTGAGGCCTCCGTGTTAGGATGACTTCCTGGAGGCTGAAGGGGCTCTGTGCCCTTAGGAACACATTTCATCAGGCTTAGCACAAAGTCCCTGATGCCCGCTGTGCCCCAGCCTTAAGAAGGGAGAGAAACAAAATTCACCACCATGGGGCTGAACGAATGCACGCACACTACTGTAAAGGAGCAGCTAAACCTTGGCAAATTTGCTTTTTTTTAAAAAAAGTTTGTTTTGTGGGGTTTTTATGTTTTTTTTTGTTTGTTTTTTTTTTCCATTTTCTTTTGCTAACCAGCATATGCAGCACTTGTGAACTTCCATTGGGCTCCCAGCTTTAAACACATTAACTGTCTTGATGAAAGACTATTTAATTCTTCAGGAATCTAAAACAGACCAAACGTGTTTTGCTGTGAACACTTTGTAGAGACGAAGTGAGGCAGGAGTTTGGGTTTAAAGAAAAAAAAAGAATCAATACAGTGATGGAAGGGTAAAGAATGCAAGAATTCAGACATTCTCTGGAGGGTTATTTTCTCTCCATTAAGAGGTCCATAAAAAGGAGCAAACTGAGATCCATAAGGGGAGTCAGCAGGAGCCGCACGTGTTTCCCTACCCCCTGTGATAGGTTTTTGCTGAGGGGCCACTGCTAGGTCCCCACTTGCTCCCCTCCCTTTGGCCTGAGACGGCAGGGCAGTACAGGGGCACTGAAGGAGCGCGTCACGACTCCTCGTTCCCAGAATCATCATCATCATAACAGTCGGCATCTTCCTCCTCCTCATCTTCATCATCGATGTCGTCGTCGTACAAGTCGTCATAAAGCAAATCTGAGCTGTTGTCATTGGAAGGCACTTTAGTTTTGATGCAGTATTCCGCCAGGGTCGTGGGGACCTTTACTCCATCCTTTTCTGCTTCAGCTTTAGTGGCTGAAACCTGTTTCCTGAAGGGAGGATAGTTTATGTAAGTCTCTGTCTTAAAGATAGATTTATAATTGGCCTTTCTAAATAATCCAGATTCCTTACAACTTGGGTTTCTGAATTTCAGTACCTGCCCGAAAGCATCTGACAGACACCCTTTACTACACCCAAGGCTCTCAGCCCATCAGGTACCATTTGGAAGGACACTTAATAATGACCTTTCGTAGGGAGTTTAGAGCAGCAGATCTCAAATGCTGGTTCGCTAGAAATCACTTCCGATTTTTTTTTTAACGTAGTCGTCTCACACCGAACTCATAATGCAGCTTCAAAAACTCTTCTGAATTCAATAATCCTCCTATTTGTACTTACAGTAAAATCCAAATGTCTTATGTTGGACTCCCAAGTCGTGCATGATCAAGCTGCCTAACACTTCATTCTCACCACCCATTACTTTCTCAAATTCCAAAAACATCCAGGCCACCTTGGTCTTTTTTTAGTACCTGCAACACACCTACTTGATTTTTCTGTGTGAATCAGTTGCTCTTCTCCTCATCTACACACACATGGTTGGCTGCTGCTTGTCACTCATATCTGATATTTATCACCTTAGAGGAGGCCTGTCTGACAACCCAATTTAAAGCAGCCGTTTCATCACTCCTTCACATTATCCTTCTTACCACTATAGTATGTTTTCTCTTTATGATCTTCCTCACTTGTGCATTTGTCTGTTGTCTGGCCCCCATCCAAGAATGTGAACTTCATTAGAGCAGAGACCTTCTCTTTCTTAGTCACTTCTTTTCTCCAGTGCCTAGAACACAGCCTGGCACATGCAGCTGTACAAACCAATACTAACTGTATGAATGGATGGAAGGGTAAAGTGTCCTTTGACAAGTATGAAAATTTGAGCCATCAAGGGACTGGAGAAACCTGAACTTAAAACATCAAACCACCACTCTCCCTATCTTCCTCGGCCTCCTCTTAACTGCACCTCCCTCAGCAGCTCTCAATGCCTTGCTCCCCCTGCCATGGCTCACATCCTGATGCCACGAGGCTTCCAGGCTTGAATCTCTCTCTCTCTCAGCACTCCCCCTGGCCATCTGACCCGTTCCTGTGTTTTTTGCCACCATTCCCTTTATGCTGACGGGTCTCACTCAAATCATCCAGCGCCAGCTCAAATCACCCAGCTCCAGCTCATACCTTTTTTCTGAGCTCTACGGTCCTATCTAAGCCTTCTGGATGTCTCCATCCTGATGTTCCATAGGAACCCTAACTCAACAAGTCTGCCTTTGTCATTTTCCACCTCTTCTCACTAAAACAGTATCAGTTCCTAAAGTCATAAATCTGCCTCCGAAATCCTAAATATTTGCAAATCTGTGTTCTCATTCCCATTGCCACGGCCTCAAGTTTAGTTTTCATCTCAGCCTCCATGTTGGTCCCCTGGTCAATTGTATTCTTTCAGAACTCAAATATGATTATCTCTTCCCATCTTAAAATCTTTAAGTCACACCCCATCACCTCTTAAGATTAAGAACCAAACGCCTTATCATGACTTAAGTGTCTTTTAAGACCTGATGCATCTCTTAATTTCCCATTAGTTCCCAAATCAGAATTTACATTCAAGCTACTTATAATTCCCTTCATACGCCATGCTGTTATAGACCTGTGTTTTAGCAAATATGTTTCTCCCTAAAGGGGCTTTTTCCTTCCCCTCTTTACCTGAGAAAGTCTTGGTTATGAGGCATTCTCTCTCCTAGGAACTCCATGGCACTCTATATTCCTTCCACTCTCTCTTGTTTATGCTTCTATAGTTGCAATTATCATATTACATGGTTGCTTGTTTGTTTACAAATGCGTGCTAAGTAAAGTGTGAGCTCCATAAGGAGAAAGACTGTGCCTTAATGACCTAGCAGAATATCTGACACAAAGCTGGTGCATAATAAATGTTGAAAGAATTAAAGAATGAGATAAAGAAACCCTTAAGTTAAGAAATATAAAGAATACAAGTACTATGGGAATATTCACGCATTCTTCACTTAATAAATCCTTTCTTTGAACATCAGGCTCCAATCCTGTTTTACGAAGCATTCCCATCTTTCAATGCTCAGTCCACTCCTGCTCCTCTAAATTTCTACAGGTCCTTACTATTTACACTAATTATCTTCAATCTTTGGTATACCAGTCACCTAGGTGCTGGTAAAACAAAATATGGATGCCCAGATTCTATCTTTGCAATCTCATTAAATGACTACGGAATAGGGATGGGGTCTAAAGATGATTCCAGTGGGCAGAAAACTTTCAGAGCTACTGATCTTTATTATTCAGCTGTCAGATGACATGCATTTCTCTGCGTTTTTGTTTTTTTATATCACATGGTATCATGCTGACTAGATGCATAGAGAACGACTAAAAATTGTATAAATTCTAGTGCTTATTAAACTCCTATGCACAGAATGCGCTGGAACTGTCCTTGGGGCTCATTTTAAGGGTACAAAAATGTAATAGTATTAAAGGGAAGTGAATTTATTGCAATTGAAGTACCAATTCTTGGGCACTGTTATGAAAGCCTTATGTCCAACTCAGGATGTGATCAAGAGCCTAATACCTTCTCCCTTTTTCCCTTTTACATAGATGAAAAAACTAAAGCCTCAGAAAGTTAACTGATAACAGGTCACATGAGGGGTGGCAGAACTAGGAGTAGATTCCAAATCTCTCACCAAGAAGAGGCGTCCAGGGCTCTGTTAAACCACATACTAGCATTGCTGATAATGATGCTGCCCAGAAGATACTTGATGCTATGGTCAAAAAGGCCAATAAACTATGGGGCTTCATTAATAAAAATTTTGAAACAAAAATACCTGGAATGTCTGGAATACCTTGGATGTTTGCTACACTCAATGGACACACTGAAAGTTTAAAACAGTGTCCCTAAAATGATCGGAGGGAGAGCTTGCAAACTTGACTAGTTCAGAACCAGGAAGTTCTGGTTCCCAGGAAACTGGATCTGCTGCAGCATTATCTTCTAGTGTACGCTGCCTCAAAAGGCAAACTCATTAGGCTCAGGCAGAAATCTTCCAAACAATAAATCTACTTGAGAGAAATAGAGTGGACATTTGGTTCTATATGAAGACTTGTAGTAATTAAACAGAAGACAAAACAAAGCACCTTACCTAATGATTTCAGCATATTCTTTGTCCTTTCCTTTACTGTCCCTCCATTTCCTGAACATAACTGAAGCATCCACATTGGCTGGGGAGAAGGTGTTGGGCTCATTAAGCAATGAGATTACACTTAGCAGGATAGTCCTGGAAACAGGAAAAAAGGGTCAGCTACAAATACTCATATTCACAGAATTCAAAAGTATTCTGCTTTAAAGTTTAAGACTATAATATTTGAGACCTTAGAGGAATAGAAATAGTAATATTTGAGACCTTAGAGGAATAGAAATAGAGTATCATAAAATTTTGTTTTCAGTACTCAACTGGCTAGGCCAGGAACAAGCTCCTAACTGTGAGACAAAGCAGAGGAAATCTATGAGTCCAGCATAAAGGTCATGTTGAGGACATAGAATGAATGCTGCAGAAGGCACTGTCTCAACTGGCTACATGTTCCAATCTGCAAAAAGTGGAGGTCTGGAAGCTTTTCAAATAACATATTTTTAAAATTACAAATTAAGTGCAACAGGAAAAAGCAAAAGCAAAAAATATTGAGCTTCAAGACAACCTTTTTGTGGAAGAGGGTAAAAATGATGCTACTCCACACATCCAATTCTTACAGTGGCTGCTTAGAAGATCTGAAAAACAAGTATTACATACAAATGTATTTCTTTTCCATACTTCTAAGGGAAGGAAGACAGAGTTAAGCACAAGAACAGAGGAAAAGCAATAGCCTCGAAATGTAAGAACTAGTCTCTGAATAACAGAAATCTTTATTCAAAAATATTTACTGACAGGGCCGGCCCCGTGATGCAGTGGCTAAGTTCATGCATTCTGCTTCGGGGGCCCAGAGTTCACCAGTCTGGATCCTGGGCATGGACCTACTCACCGCTCATCAAGCCATGCTGAGGCAGCATCCCACATAGAACTAGACGGACCTACAACTAGGATATACAACTATGTACTGGGGGCTTTGGGGAGAAAAAAGGGAAAAAAAAAGATGAAGATTGGCAACAGATGTTAGCTCAGGGCCAATCTTCCTAAATGAAAAAAAAAAATGTACTGAGCACCTACGATGTGCCAGAGGCACTGAGTAAGATGCTAGATGTACAACTGTGAGCAAGTTAGATGCCAACCCTGATCTCCCGAGAGAGCTTATAAGTCATGTGGGAGATATAAACAAGCAATTTTCATCCACAGATAAAAACCAGACACCTTAATCAATCACAGGGAAAAAAAGTTTCTGTTAGATAAAATAATCAAGAAAAGCACAATAGGTTCCAAAAATGTTCCAAATTATTCCCAGGCATTTTTTCCCTAAAAGCTATGTGCGTGTACATAAGGAGAAAAATGGGAGGAAAAATTAAATTTCTCTACCTTTTCTCATTGGTGCGAGGTTACAGATTGTGTTGTTGCAAAAGAGCCTTTTGCTCCTGGCCCCAAGGAAAAAATAAAGGGAGGGAACCAGGCAATTAGATGTTGGATTTGATGAAACCTTTTCCTAAAAAGGGTAAAGAGTTTCTGTTATGTGATTATACAAGATTATGACAAAGGCACTTTCAAAGAAAACTTTCCCATCTAGTTAAAATCCATTTATCACACACTCACCCCCACCTTTCTATTAGGTTAAGAATAACTCCCTGCCCCTCTCCCACCAAGATCTTTCTGGATTTCTTCAGTAATCACATTAAAAAGATTCCAAAGAAACTTATCACTGTCAATAATGGGAAAGGGACTGACATAGCATCCTAGAAGCAAAAGAAAAATGTGGGTAGAAAATTCCAAAAAGCTTGCTTCAGAAGAAAACATATTCAAAATCTGTTAGAAAGATAAGCAGGATAAAGACAAAGTATGGTATAAAGAGAAAAAAATAGCTTTAATGGTCTGGATCAGCACTGTATACTTACATCCTTCTGTGATGATGGAAATGTATAATCTGTGTTATCCAATATGGTAACCACTAGCCACATGTGGCCGTTGAGTACCTTGAAAGGTAGCTTGTGCAACTGAGGAACTGAATTTTTAATATTATTTTATTTTAATTAATTAAAGTTTAAATAGCTACATGTAGTTAGTGGCTACCACATTGGACAACACAGGTCTAGATGAATCATATTAACTGAATTAGGAAATTTTTCCCATGAGTAGTTTTACCAAGTTGATTTTCTTACACCTTATGTTTATTATTAAAATATTATATTGGGAAATACAATTTTAAAAAATGGTGAACCATCCATTTCTATCAAAACAAGAACTCACTTTTTTTTTTTCTGCGAGGAGATCAGCCCTGTGCTAACATCTGCCAATCCTCCTCTTTTTTTTGCTGAGGAAGACTGGCCCTGGGCTAACATCCATGCCTATCTTCCTCCACTTCATATGGGACGCCGCCTCAGCATGGCTTGACAGTCAGCAGTGCATCGGTGCGCGCTCGGGATCCGAACCGGCGAACCCTAGGCTGCCGCAGCGGAGCGCGCGCACTTAACTGCTTGCGCCACCGGGCCGGCCCAAGCACTCACTTCTAACACCATGTACTCCTAAACTGAAGTCCATGATGCTTTCAGAAGCGTTAGGTACTGTAGGAGACTGTGATAACAGTTAACCCAGCATGTTTTCACTTCCTCTCTTCCTCTGGAGAGCAGAATCTTTTTTTGTATGGGGAATCCATTCCACTGGTTCAGGTGGGGTTAATCTCCTTCCCCTACCATCATGCCACACCTTCCTACAAACAACCTACCTACCCACAGCAGTAGACATACCACCAAGTGCTGGCCAAAGGATTCCATCCATCTTGTCATGGTGATGGGTTTGGGACCGGCCCAAGCTGGGCCAGTCAGAACCCTGGTGGGAACTACGATGGTTCTAAACTAATAGCAGAAAGGCAATTAATTTTTATTCTTTTTTTGGTGAGGAGATCAGCCCTGCGCTAACATCTGCCAATCCTCCTCTTTTTTTGCTGAGGAAGACTGGCCCTGGGCTAACATCTGTGCCCATCCTCCTCCACTTTATGTGGGATGCCGCCGCAGCATGGCTTGCCAAGCAGTGTGTTGATGCATGCCCGGGATCCCAACCGGCGAACCCCAGTCCGCCGCAGCAGAGCGCGCGCACTTAACCACCTGTGCCACCAGGCCGGCCCGATTTTTATTCTCGATTGGACTCACAACTGTGAGAATAAGGAAAGCCAAATGGTGAGAGCCTGCCTAATAACAAGGCCAATATAGAGCAAAGCAGAATTGCAGGGCTTTTTCCCCCCTCTAACAAAGATTCCTGATGCAATTCATATACAACATTCTATTCAAATTTCTAACCAGTAGGTTGTAGATGGGTTACAGGGGTAACCCCGTCTACATTCCCATGGCCAATTCCCATGACCTCTACCATTCCCGGAGTGAATATAATTTAATGGGTAAATTATACTTTGATTCCCTCAGGCAGTGGGGTGGATGGGACCTGGGACAACTTGAGCTTCTGGAACAATAACTTCTGGCCAAAGGAGCATCTTCAGTTTACTACATCGTGATCTACAAATACTATCATTTCATCTTTTCTATGTACCATGACTGGAAAAGGTGGAGAAGCAATGTCATATGTAGTTTAAATTGTTTAGCACTTGTACCAAATTAGTTTAACACAGGCGGTATAGCTGTAGCATGGTAAACAACTCTGCAAGGTAAGTATTAATCCCACTTTGTATAGAATGGAAAAGGTAAACTGCTAAGACAATACTAGTAGAATGTACAAAACAGAAATGAATTCTGGAGCTATTCCAATGGTTACTTCTTTTTTTGTGTGTTGCCATCTTTTACTGTTGTTAGTTTCAGTAAGTTTTTAAAAATCTTTATTCACCTATTGTATTTTTTTCAGAAGGAAAAAAAGCAGAAGGTGGAAAAGGTTAAATAGGTTAAAGAAGGGAAAGACAGATCAAATAAATATAACCACGAAAGCTCATTAGAGAGACTGGTTTCCTGCAGATCAGGAACAAAGGAGAAAGGATCAGAAAACAACAACATACACTCTTTCTTATTCTCATTCTGTCCATGTAAGTTCACGGTTCCATATGAAGCTTTGGTTTTTAGCAGCAACATGGACTTACATTTGTCCATTTAGACACTGTGGCACTTGGACATAAATTTCTTGGATTAGCAGAACAGACTCTGAGGGCCATCACCAGACTCTCCGCTCCCACAAAGAATAATTCCACTGCCGTTCTCTACCGTAGGTTTGGAGGAACAGGTCTGGTTGTCCGAATCCAGTGGTGTAATTGTTTAACATGTTACAATAAAGAACAGACCTAATCCAGTAAGAATCTGGGATAAAAATGAGAGGCAGAAAGTTCTGAAGTGTTTTCAGGGTTTTTTTTGGTGAGGAAGATTAGCCCTGTGCTAACATCCGTTGCCAATCCTCCTCTTTTTGCTGAAGAAGATTGCCCTGGACTAACATCTTCGCCCATCTCCCTCTACTTTATATATGGGATGCCTGCCACAGCATGGCTTGATAAGTGGTGGGTAGGTCCATGCCCAGGATCCGAACCTGCAAATCCTGGGCTGCCAAAGCGGAGCACATAAACTTAACTACTATGCCACTGGGCCGGCCCAGAAGTGTTTTCAGTCTATTGCACAATTCTCATGACCACTACCATTCCCGGAATTAGAGATATTCCTAGAAATAACTGTCCTCTCTCCACCCCGACTTTAAGCCAGGGCAAGGGACTATGCTAGGAGTCTATAGGACAAAGGATCTGAGCCAAAATAGAACAATACCAAAAGGAGAAAGGAAGTACACACAAAAGCACTCCACTTTACATAGTCTTCACATTCATATTCCAGATCCTTGTGTCTGCTTCCGAATCTCTGTCAGAGATGATCTGGCTATCTTTTGAATAAAAAGTTTATAAACAAGAAAAACACCAAAAGAAAATGAAGAGCAACTGATCATACACATACACACACACACACACACAGACTAGCAAACAGCAAACCAGCAAGCTGTGAAGTTGTACAGAGCGTAGACATGCTTAAAAAATAACAAAACTAAACAAGTGTTTAAGGGAGACAAGAAATCAGAATTAGATATCTATGACCCAAATGGGTGATATTGTATTTGTCTCTTTTCAACACACAGACAACAGTCAATGAGATAGGTCTGCCCTTTCT